GTTTGTTTTCTCTGGTGATTCGGAGAAGTAAGCAATCTGTCAGTAATACATTGAGTGAAATTACTTGTCTTGGAGGAAGGACTGCTGACAGTCACTTTATCTCAGGGCTGACCCAAACATCTCCCTGGTGACAAATTACTGCCTAACTTTGAAAAGGTAGCTAGCTGGCTTTAATTTTGATGGGTCTTTCAGAAGCCTTTATATCAATACTAAGTCTTTTGTTGTATTTTTTTAAAGGTTAACAAAAGTGCTTTTTGGGGAGACAGGTTTGAATTAATAAGCAGGAAAGAGAGAAAGAGAGAAGGAAGGAAGGAAGGAAGGAAGGAAGGAAGGAAGATAAGATAAACATAACTCTGTGCTCTTAACTGGTAAAAAATTGGATCTTTGAAGCCACTTTCTTCTTTCTACTATAAAAAATATGTGAAATAATTAAAGTTTTTAAAGTCTACCAAAAATTGCATTACTTTTACCAAAGGTTTTAAAATAGATTTTTCATGACCATTTTGGCCAAATGGCATATTGCCTGTGGGGGGGGAAGCAATGAATAATGCCTGCATTAAACATACACTTAAAAAATATTTTAGAATGCATGGTTGAATTTGTAGGATGGAAAAGCAAGGTAATAAAGATCCCAAACAACAATTAACACAGTCTTTAAACTGAGGGTACCGTCCTAATCCTGGGTCTAAGGACATGAAGTCTGGGGTTGTAACTAGTTAGGTTAAGGCTCCCTGAATAAAACATGAAGGGAGAATAACAAGGGAGATGAAATTCATTCTATAGTGCTGGGGTTGCTTGCCAGTCATAGCCTTGGAGCAGAAGAAAAAGAAGAAAGGAAGGAATAAAAGGAAAGAAGGAAGGATCAGGAAGGAAAGAAGGGAGGAAGGGAGGAAGGGAGGGAGGGAGGGAGGAAGGGAGGGAGGAAGGAAAAATAAGAAACAGAGAAAAACCTGCTATCATCTGGACGTAAGAAGCAGAACTGTTAAGCTTCAAGACTCTGTAGCGAAGCTGGTGTGTCAACTCCACATTAAGACGGGCAGCACCGCCAGTGACTGACTGGGTGACTGAACACATTACCCAGACAGTATTGTAGGAATTAATTTCCTTCAATAAAGTGATTTTTAAGGCTCATATATTTCACAATCTAAACATATGTCACTGTTTCATAAACAAAATAAATGGATTAAAATAATACATTACCAATATGCTGACATGTGGAGATATTTTAATTAGAAATTCTTAAGCTGTGTGGTATTTAACTGCTGTATTTGCTGAAGAGAAGCATGCATCATTTAATAAGAAGGCACCGGCAGGTGTGTCTCTTTGCACATAGCACCAGATTGTGTTTAATACAAGCTACAACTACGAGGCAACATTGCTCCCAATCAAAAACAAAACAAAGCAAGATGACCTTAAGGAGCTACGGCACTGAAAGTAACCACATGAAAGGAATCAACACACTGAAGCTACTTTTTCATTTATAAACAAAGACACCTTCAGAACTTGGTCCTGAGACGGTATTTCTTCAGCCTTGATCTACCACAATGATCCAAAGGCTGTATTTACATGGCTCCTCATTATTCGGGTCCCCTTTCCTTAATGCTCTTGTGGACTTACTTAAGGACCAGTGCTAACAGTGCTAAGGCAGGCAAAGGGCAGCTGGTTCAGAAACGCACATGGGCGAGCACAGGGAGTAAGTAGCAATGTAATATACTGTTTACTGAAGAAAGTGGCCTCTGTTCTGGAAAGGTCAAAAGCATTGTAACCTCAGAATTACAGTTTCTGATTGTTCCCAGGGTTAAATACATTATCAAAATTAATGGTTCGAGTCCCTCAGCCTTCAGATATACGAGAATTCATTCCTCCATCTGCTGAACCATTCAACTAAAAATAGCATCCTTTGGCCTCCTCTCTCCTAATACTGTGCCCCTGAGGCAGAGAAAACCAGGTCCTCGATCAGACAGAAGCATTAAAAACGCGCTGGTTTTGTGTCTTTCTCACTTTCAAGAAATAAAAAAGTGGAATATGCTAATATAAGGAGGGTCATTCGATTCCCAATGCCTTTTATCTAGTTCATCCAAATGTTCAGACGTCTAAGGTCTACAACTACAAGTATCACTCACATTTACTTGGGCACATTAATATTAGAAATGACAACTTTTGAAGGAACATAAAGTGCGGCATTAAGGAGGGAAAAAATTCAGTTCTGAGCAAGGTGTTTGTTGGGGGTCAATATGTCATATGGGGTATTCCTTTTAGGAATCGTTCTTTGTAAGTAAAACCAGGTGACACCACTTAGTACTAACAGTTTCTCATGATCTTGATTGTTGATAGCACCATGGCACTGCAGCTTGCCAGAGGGGGGAAACCCTACCTTAAAAAGAAGGCAGTGACTTCATAGCAATAAAGCAAGTTATTATTAAAATTTCCCTCTACCTTTGTTCTGGTTCTAAAATGTTCCTGTTGAGCATCTCAGATACAGGTGTATACCGTGCTGTTTAAAGAGGTCCCCCTAAATATGCCCTGTTCAGACCAGGAAATCTTGGGAAACCTACCTTTCATAAAAGGTTATTCTTCTCTAAGTAGCATACCATAGAAACAAACCTCAAAGGTTTACACACGTGCCGTGAAAAAATGTTTGAAAAAATGCAAAGGGGCTGCTCTTGCAGAGGACCCAGTTTCAGTTCCCAGCACCCACATGGCAACAAACAACTGTACGTAAGTCCAGTTCCAGGGGACCCGATGCCCTCCTCTGGCCTCTGCCAGCATCGCATGCATGGAAGCACTTACATGCCTGTAGGCCAGACACTCATACACATAGAAAAAAAATCAATACATTGTTTTAAAAAAGGAAAAACCCCACATGTTCTCCCTCATATGTGGATCCTATCCTATAATGCATATATGTTTATATGTAAAAGGCTGTACATGTGGACAGAGTGTAACAGCTAGAAAGGAGACTAAGAAGAAGTGACAGTGACGAGAAAGGATGGGACACAGGCAAAAGGCACAAGTCAGGAGGGGATGAAAGGCGAATTGCTTATCTAGTTTCAACTCTGTTATGGCTGTTTTCTTTTCTGTGGCAGGTGCATAAAAATGTAATGAATTGATGCTGAAAGTGTAAAACCCTAAGTGAAGTCCGTGGCTTCAGAACCATCATTCTAACTGTACAGAGTTCACTGAGATGCAGAGGGTTTGGGTCTGGATCAGTGTTTGAGTGACTACCTTGATCTAGCTGTGTAACATGACTTGTGAGATCATTACAATAAGCTAAATTTTATAACAAACAAATAAAAATTTAAAGTGGAGACAGGAGAACACATACAAAATTAAAACTCAGGATACTCTCAGGCCAGCTACATTTATGCTACAAAGGTCTGAAGCCCCTTGCATCAATGGATCTGCTGTTCAGCCTAACTGAAGTGATAGACCCACGGCACCTACACTCCTACACCAGCATTTGCACGCCTCTAGGAACTTCTGGCACCCCTACGTATGACAATGGCCTCCAGAAACACCAGATTTGACACACCAAGATTTGGTGATGATCAAGGAGATCGGGGGTAAACTGAAGTAAGGGGAGAGATTAGGTAGAAATCTAAGGGAAGAACAAAGGGACAGAACATGATGTCCCAACAGAGAACCAAGGGCACAGGGGAGAGGAAGCTGAGCTTGAACCAAGGCCATCTTCTTCCCCAGTCTCCTGGGCATCTCGCAGTTCCTCGGACTGGCCCACTGACCATCCAGAGTGGCTCAGCCTGCTGCCTGCCATCACATACAAGATTGCTCCTCAACTCCACTTGTCTCTCTCTTCAGCCCCCCTGAACGTAACAGATTTTCATAATGCCCAGGAATATGGCAGCCTTTCTATAGTCGACAGAAAGCCATGGAAAACGCTCTTCTGGCTCCAGAGAAGATGGCAGACACAGTCAGCCTGTGGCTAGTCCTGTCAGAGACCCCCAGGCCCTGCTTCTGTCACAGTGCAAGAAGCAGGAAGTGGCAGCAACACTAGGACTCTGCCTTGGGTCACTTCCCAGTGGGCTTTGAGCTCGTCCTCGTCCTCCTCCTTGGGTGTGATTGCCCCATTATTTCCCACCATTTTCTAGAAAGGTGGCTTGAAAAGACCCCACCAAGGGGCGGGGGGTCCTGTCATTCACAGCGACGTGATACGCTGAGATAACTAAAGGAGCTGAAAATAGGGTGTCAAATTTGGTATTTTGTTTTGCCCAGAAAATTAACCTTTTCTGAAAAATCAAGAGATCAATACATAGCTGGCAACCCTCCAATATCTGATAGTCCCACAGGAGAGGGGTGAAGTATGACATCACAGGGTAGAAGACTAGGGCCCTGCCACAAAGACTTCCTCTTCAAAGGGCACACATATGTCATTGTCTCCCAGGGCTACATACAGAGCTTTTCTGGAAGGTTAAATATGAAAGGGATATCATAGAAACTTAGGGGCAAAATGCTACCAGCCAGGCCCAAGCACCCCAATTCAGCCTGAGAACACTGTTAGGAAATCCAGTCGGCAGTTAGCAATCCCGGATAATAATCCTAATGCAGTGAATACATTACACCCTGGTCAGCTCACTTGACCTCTCTGCCCCTCATCTGTGTAGCTGTATACACAGACTTATATTTGATGGAATTTACAGAGTAAATAAATACGGTCAAATAAAAATGATTTTTAAAGTTTAAGTATCTTTTAAATGTAATACAATATTATAAATAGAAAAGATAAAAGGAGAAAAAGGCAGTTTTGCAGATGCTTATGGAGAATTTTCTTATAGACAGAAGTATATAACCTAATTCAAGGGCTTTCATTTATGTTTGGTTTTAATCTGAAGAAAAAGAAAAAGAAAAGCCTCCTTAGGAATCAGAAAGGGAAGGTTCAGTTTTAGCATTCAGGCTTTGAGTGTTTGTGGCTTTCTAAAAGGCCTTGAATATGCTGGAACCATCCAGTCCCCCACCCAAAGAAGCACCAATGGAAGCATTCATACCTCAATCTGTTTGTGGTTGTAAGAGTGGCCACCACCATGTTCAAAGGTGTCCAAATTCCTGCCAAAACGGTCACTTAGGCCCTTTAGCCTTGGGTTAATTTGTGGGTGGGAAACATGACCCTTCTGTTTAGTAGCAAATTCAGAAAAAAAAAAAAAAAAAAAAAACAAAAAAAAAAAAGACAAAACATACTGTCAGAACTCATGAAACAACACAGAATTCCTAATCCAGGGTACTGATCACATCAAAGAATGGGAAACAGTCTAAGACCCAGCCACTTTGTTTTGTAGAAACTTGGTCAAAGGATCTGCCGGTGGAGCTGGTTCCTTATGTCTGCCTCTGGACTAAGAAAACAGCCCACAGTACAGCTATGGGGCAAAGAGAACCTGCCCACCGGGAAGGTTCCTTTTAGATCTTTACTAGCTACTGGGGATCCAGGGTCAGCAGTGTGCAGGGTGAAGGTTTGTGGGGGAGTGGCTGCTCCTATCGGCAGGGTTCCTCCCTCACCAGGTGTCCCAGTGAGGTCTGTGACAGAAATGTTTAGCACTGCAAAAATTCTTAACTTACAGACTCAGGTGAAAATGTTTAAAGTGGGGGTTTTGGTACAATAATGGCACACTTTTTATGTTCAAATCTCATGGGCAATCGCCAACACAGAAGTAATGCCTGCCTAGAAGCTCTGCCCTAAATTTTCAAAGAAGAATCAAATATAATCAAATAAAACCTCTGTGAATTTGGTACCGCAAAATTCTAAATATTCTAACACAAAAGTCTGATGCTTAATTTTTTGTTTTATTCATTTAGATATATTCACATTTAAAGTCATTCATATGGAGGCAACAGAAGGCTTAAAGGCCGCCCAATCCTGTTCTAACCCCCTTTTGTTGTGAAGAAGGCGTAGGTGCGAATAATTTTTCAGTCAGCCTCCAAAACACATTCTCCTCAAGTTTAGTGAGAAGGCTGCTCATAGGGAGCTTGGTCAGTCACCAGGCCTAGACCTTCAACCCTGGAAAGAAGAAGGACCCGTTCGGGAGGGATGTGCTTGCACTCTGCTAATTAATAAAGGAACCAAAGACAACAGCTCCTTACTCTATGAGCTACCAGAGGGAAAGTGTCCGGTGTGGTTCTCTGAAGTTCACATGCTAAAGTCAATCTGGATGTAATGGAGACACAGATGAAAATCTGATAAGGAAAAAGCTAACACGTTCAACAACTAGCCACAAAAATGTAAAACTATTAACTAACCTGATAGAGACTCCACAGTACCAAATCATAATGTCACATTTCCCTTAAAGATGATTGGAACTGGCCATGTTGTCTTCTCCACGGTATGGTAAGTACATAAGGTGTTAATCCTGAGCTACTGCGCTTAAAACATTTAACATTCAGGCTATTATTTAGCATACAGCTGGTTTGCAGTTTTCCACTAAAGCACTGGCTCCTCTCCCACATTTTTTTTTTCCTCCTGGCACTTACCTGGAGCTGTAAAGGGCTGAGTCCAGAAGCAGCCGCAGCTGCCATTGTTGATGGAATGAACTGTACGGGGTAGTTATCACCTGTCGGAGAGAACAATGCACACAGGTTTAGACAATGCACAGGGAATCACAGCACACAAGTACAAACATGGTCCTTGGATTGCCTGAGCTTTACAGCATTGCTCTAAGCCCAGACATCTGCAGAAACAAAAGGCTTAGCTGGGCACAGACTTGCGCTGCCACCCTGGAACTTTTTGTTAACAGATAGCTGGTGGGCAAACTGGCAAAACATGAATGTGATGTTGAAAAAAATTAAATGTGCAATTCAAGCATGTTCGCTCCATTACCAATCTTGTACTACATCATTTTTTTAAGAGTAAAAAAAATATCTTAGAGCCAGGCTGACACTCAGTACACTGTGAAAACAGAGGCTTTTCTATTAGAACAACAAGAAGTTTTGGCTTCGTAGGCGAAGCAGAGTATCGGCATCCAAGACAGACTACTAGCTATTGACTGGCCAGAACTCTACATTTTATTTTATAAAAAGTAAACAAAACATTAAAAAAAATAACATCTTTACTATGAGGGGGTGAGAGTGCGGTGAATCTTATCCACGGGCAGTATGCGAAATGCCTGGTTTCCTTTGTGACATGGAAATCCTATCTTGGACTAGACCTCTGGTAATGCACTAGTGGAACCGGTGTAGAGTCATGCACATGCAGCTCTGAGTAAACCATTTTTGATGATGACTTGATTACATAACCACAGATTTTACATAGACTGTCTGCACTGAGAACCTGAGAGCCAGTGAGCACCGCTTAGCCGAGATCCGTGCTATGTGGTACGGTGTTTCAAACTGCAGCTGATGCCTACACGGGGCATTGCAACAAATACTTTCTGTGACCTGAGGACTCAGGCCTCAGCCAGCAGCCCAAAGAGCCGAAAAAAAGGGGACGAGAGACCTGCTGGTGTGGTAGTAACTGAACTAAAAATTAATATTTGTGGATGAGCCACACAGTATCAGTGGTTTAATGCAGCAGCACTTAGACTTCAGCTACTTATTTAAAGTCAGTGCTATGTACTATCTCTAGGCTATATTTTAATAGGCTGTTTCTCCACACATTTTTGACATTTATAATAATCATGCTGCTTTGCATGAACTTTTCCACAATGAATGCTGAATGCTATAAGGAAAGGACATTGTAGAAAGCATCACGGTCACAGAGGTAGTCGACTAGAAAGCAATAAAACCTCTTTTTTCCTGTATGAACCCTAATACCTGCCGCTTGCCTGATACCCTGCTTCCTTGGAACTCATCCTGTTTGCCACATGAAGGGCTACTCAGCTGGCCCAATGTAAATGTTAAGTCGCTTTCACTTTTAACAAATTGTTCGCTTCTAATCTACACAGTCTCTTTGCATCATGTCCATAATACCTCATCAGACCATTGAGCACAGTGTGTGCCTGTACACAGTCCAGTAACAATTGGCTTCTGATTGCATATGGAGAGCTGCTACAATGCACTCGCTAACTCTATATTGTGCTGGTCTCCTATGGAGTAATGTTCAAAATATCTGATCTTGTTTTTCCCCTTCTATGAGGGTGATTTTAGTTCTCAGTACTTATGAGCTTTTTAAAAAAGATAACTAGGCAAAATTACTTTTGTAGTAAATGACTGTCACTTTATGCTTAAATAATTCTACTGATCTTGATATTTAAACTAAATTATCTGAAGAAAGAATATCCTGATTTAAGTCAAACAGCATTTTTTTTTTTTTTTGGTGGGTATCTTATCAGCTTTAAAATACATCACAAAATGATGCTGAATTAATGATGTTTCAAAAATAGATGGGGGGGATAACCATTCCAACCATCAACATGGACCTCCTTCCCAAACATTTTAACGCTGTTCTTTCTGTAAGGGTCATGCATTATTCATACAGCTCCACACCACCCCCTTCCCTGTAAGTTTAATACCAGTTGCTTTATTTGTACTAAAACATTTTTCATGTCAAACATATTTTAAAAAATCAAACTCTAAAAGAATTCCCTAGGGCACTCCTTTCTTCATGGCTGTCATGGAGCCATGAAATAGCTGATTTTTTTATATGGTTTTTGGCTTGTCAGTAAATTTATTACTATCTCTACCACACCCTGTAGTACTCTCCAGATCACCTGCTGGCTACAAACAGCTTTTCTTTCCACTGTTGATAAGCATGTTTGAAAATATTTTTAACCTTTCTGCGGGTTTGAATCTGCATATCTGACTAGATCTTAGAGAGCTAGTTCTCCAGAACACATCACTGTGTCGATACTACAAGTGAAAATGAACACATAGAGCCATGCAGTGCATCACAGAGAACAGTTAGGGGAGCGACAGCGAGAGCCAGGGGAGGGAGATGAGAGCTAAAAGGGGACAAGAGAAATTTAAGAGAGGGAGAGGATTTCAGGCAACGAGCTTAGTTTGTGATAACACAGTAACCTGCTCCCTCCTACCCACTCTGACTTTCTGTGTAACAGTTGATCAAGAACAGTTCACAGGTTGACTTGGCAAGGAGTCAGCCAACATGTTGCAGCAATTTTTTTTTTTTTCAAATTTGTGTCTGGATTTGAAATGCTTGCGTGAGGGCCCATTCTTTTTAAATTTGTGCAAAGACAGAGGCAGCCTGTTGGAACATGTTTGCTTTCAGCATGACTCTGGCCCTTCTTACCCTGAATCTAAGAAGACAATCCCCAAAATCCAGCCTGAGAAAGAGCACTCATCCGGTAGGTCCATCTTCTAACCGTCTAGCTATTGCTACAAATCCAAAACAGGACTGAGACCTGTGGAAATGTGGCCGACACAGCTCCCTCATCAGAACAGGCAACATCCTCTGGCACCCAAGCCGCTCCTCACCAAGAGTCCCAAATGAGAGAGAGTAAATTCTTAAATTTTCAGAGAAAATGAGATGAAGCCAAAACTTAGTAGCACTTAATTAATCACAGCAGGAAGGGAACTTACTCCTGTAACTGAAGACCCACTAGACATCTCCCAGAATGCCACTAGTAGTTTATTTAAAATTTGAATTCTGCTATTTATAAGTCATTTAAAAACTACTAATAAGGGCCAGGTGGGGTAGTGCACTTGGGAGGCAGAGGTAGAGGGATCGCTATGACACCAAGGTCAGCTTGGGAGGGTCTATTTAGTGAATTCCTGGTCACCTGGGGCTACATAGTGTTACTCTGTGTCAAAACAAACAACAACAAACCCACAAAAAGCATTCCACGGTGGTTAACATTCTAGCCATCTGTTTTCATTATTCAAACAGGCAAAGGAACGGAAGAGTCAGTTGTGGGTCCTGAGATTCTAACCTTACATATTAATACCTTGTAGAAGTCATTTCAAGACCTGGGAGGAAGAGGGAAAAAGAGAAGAAGGGGAAAAAAACAAAAAACAAAACCAGAACTACAAGTCAGGACTCATATTCCTCGGTACCTGCCTCAGAACTGGAGTGCATGCCCATATCTCATTTCCCACCTCCAAGTAGAAGACCTGCATGTCCCACAACCCTATTTCCGGAGCCACTGAAGGAAGGTAAGCTGATAAACCTTCAGGCTCACCCATGACCTACCACGTTCTTGTCACAGTATGGAAGTATCTGAAGCACAACCACGGATGCAGACTGGGGTGTGCCACTTTACACACCTCGCTTGCCTGTACTCAGCATAGTGAAATGTTATAATCTCTCAGTCACCTTGGGGGCAGATACTGAGTCCAGATGGATCTCTGTGCAATTCCACATTGCAGCAAAAGTGAGCAGGTATTATGTAACATACTTAGGACTCTAAAAATAATCCACCATTTTTAGTTTGTTCAGAGGACAGAAAATGAGGCAGGATTATGAGATATACATATGCATGTATTTATGTATCTCAGCATGTCCTCATTTCCCTTGCTAAAGGTCTCTCTCTATCAGACTTCCAATGATGAGATAGCGATCTCACATTTTCCTATGCTTACATTGTTCTGCACACCTTTATACAAGCTAAAAATCAAGGATCAATCTTAATTTCTTCATTTATTTCATAGATGCATCTTAGACCCTTGGCCAATCATTTGAAAATTATGAATTTTTCATGGTTTCAATTAAATAAGTGAATGTGAATGGAGAGATTCAACTTCATCCTCATTCTGAGAAATCAACTCAAAAAAACAGCTCATGTCTTCACTGAAGTTCTTCTCAGTACAGTCTCCACAGAGGGGAGAAGACACAGTACATGAACCTTGCTGCTCACAAAACTAGACTGGCTTCCATGGGTGACCGTGTCTTCCCACACTTTGGCACTCTCTTTAAAACTGCTGGGAGAGCCGCCGAAATGCTTTGATTCAAAAAGATCAAGTTCATCAGCATTCCGATACTGGTGATACACTTCTGCTTTGAAACATTCTGAAAGAGAGGAATGCCTGTCATGATGTCTTTTGTATAACCTCATATACAAAAATCATATTTTGCCCAACAACAAAATCAGAGTTCCTGGAGATCATATGCATTTAGACCATGTTTCCAAGAATCTGGACTATCAGCTTGGAGAACTTCAGTCTGAATGCTCGCACCATTATTTTTAAGAAGTGACATCCTAGAAAACTTAATTAACATTTTAAATTTTAGTTTATTCCTTTCATTTAATAAAATGGAGAGAATAATTCTTATTCCCACTTATATCTTAGGGTTGTTATAAAAATTAATGAGATTACTGACACACATGGGGGTTATCTTGGCAAACAAATGGTGTGCAATAAAAAAAAATCAGATAACAACTGTATTGATTGTATGCCAACCAATTAAACAACTCAGAAGAAACAGAAAACACAAAAATTATCTAACTACTCAAGCTCAAACAGAAAAATCTCAAAAGACCTATAATAGTTGAATCAGCAATCAAAGCTCCCAACAAAGAAAGGCCTGAACTAGGTCCCTTCAGCAGGATTCTGTTGTATGTTAAAGAACTGTTAACATCAATCCTTCACGAAAAACAGAAGATGGCAGTTCTTTCTCTGTTCTCTGAGGCGCCAAATATCTTGAAGATAAAGAAGTATGTCA